CTCTCATGCAGTGAGAACCAATCTCCTCCTGCAGGATCAGCATCATGACAGCAAGATGGATTCAACTCAAAAGGAAGGAAGGAAGGTCACATTCATACAATGCTACACTATGCACCTACAAATAATGCAGAACAAGAGAAAAAGGAGGAATTCTACAGACAACTTCAATCAACACTGGACAAGACCTCAGTTGGTGATATCAAAATTCTAATGGGCGACATGAATGCCAAACTGGGAGCAGACAACACAGGAAGAGAACTCATCCATCATGGGTCGAGAAGCGCTCGGTGAGGTGATGAACGAGAATGGAGAATTGCTTGCAGAATTCTGTGCATTCAACGATTTGGTGATTGGAGGCGAGGCAGTGTGTTCAAGCACAAGGATATCCACAAAGCGACATGGATTTCACCAGATGGACAAACTATAAACCAGATCGACTTCATCTCAATGTGAAGAGACTGGAGACGCAGCCTACTGGACACAAGATCAAGAAGGGGAGTAGATATAGGTTCAAACCACTATCTAGTGCAAAGAACCTTCCAAATCAAGTTGAAAGCCTTCAAAGAAGTTGGTGATAGACGACTACAGTTCAAGTTCAACATCCAGAACAGAAACTGAAGGACAAAACTACAGAGGACATCTTCACGTCAGCCATCAGAACAAATTGGGAGACATTGAGCAACATCCTGAAGGAACCTGCGTGGAAGAACACTAGAAGTCTTTGAAAGGGATGTGGAAAGAAACCTTCATAACCGTATTAGGAAGGAAGAGGAAACAAGACGATGAATGGATCTCGACGGATACATGGAAGCTAATAGAGGAGAGGAAGATGGTGATGCAGAAGATGAGTTAGTTGTTGACAAAATCTCGGATCAGTTTAAAACGGCTCCTTTGGCACTAGGTAACTTGCATCATCTCCGGTGCAGACTAGCGAGATATCCGACTACCTGTTAAGAGATGAGTACATTGCGCTGTAGTCCATTCTGTTCTGTCATACGGTTGTGAGACATGTCAGGTGAAAGATGTGAAGAGAATTCATGTTTTCGAACACATGTATCCTCGCAGTATTGGTCACGTACGATGGATTCATCGTGTGAACAATTTCGAGGTTAAGCGAAAGGTGCTAGGCAAGGAAAGTAGGCAAGTTTCAGCCGATGAGAATGTGAACCTTCAACCACCGATGTGGCTTGGATATGTTTACTCATTCTGAGCCAGCGCCTACCTCAACGTGCTATGTTAGCTGAAATAAGACTGGGTTGGATGAAGCTTAATGATCAGACCAAGAAGTGGCACCAGTCAATGAAGTCTTTCATGGTTGGTCTAAGCCATACAAAGAAGTGTACACTGACTAGCTAAGATCTTCAAAATAATAATGAGTGTCAATGGTTGGAGACTCCTGGAGACATGGAAGTAAATCGGAAACAACTGAGCAGATGTATTCACTCTAGAGATTTACAAAGTCTAAGCATTTTCAACACTAACGTTTATTCCTTAAAATCCTCTCTTATCCAGTGCACTTTTGTTTACTTTGATGTCGCTCTTTTTCTATCCACTTCTTCTTAGCATGGTATTGTGAAGTGATGTGGTAACTTGGACCTCTGCACTTCTGTACGGGGTTATAGATGGATTTGTTTATCTTTCTGTCACACTTCATACAGCGGACAGTATGAATTCGCTCTCGGGCCCTCATCACAATGTGGCTACTTTTACAATAACGGCATCTGCTTAATGTTTGTTTACTATTTAATAGACCTTTGTTACATAATAGAACCTCCAGGAACAGTAGTTTTAACTGTCATTACTCGTTTGGTTACTGCACGATGCAAACCTGACTACCATGTCAAACTAGCAACTTTTGGTCGGGAATGTTTTTATAAACAATGAGTTCTTGAATAGAACTTAATGATTATAAGTAAGCTCCCATGTGCTGGGTTGAGAACTACATGATGAGCTACACCTACTGTATGATGTCAGTGACACTGCTTGGCTGTAAAAGCCTCAGTAGATGGAACTAGGTTTGGATGCGTGAACTATTGATTAGAAGCCCGGTTATCTAGACCAATAGGCCACAGGTCCACGACAGAACTGTACGTGAAGGCTCTACACTCGTGTTTATCCTATAATTTAAACTTCATAATTTACATGGTGACGCCATTTATTCATGCTTACTTAACTCATGTTAACATTCGAAGTGGACAACTGACTGACAAATTTAATAAAGAACCTGACGCGCAAGTGTATCGGCTCAAGTTGCCACACTTCACAGTAGTATACAGAGAACAGGTAGATAGAAAAGAACTACGTTATAACCAGAGGTGAGACCCTACTGATCATCTTTACAAGTCCGAATTAAGTGAAACAAGATTTACACTGTTGAGAAATATCAAAATAAGGCAGAACATGTGTCAACTTATCCCCCATTTACCTAGACATTGTCATTTTGTGACGTAAACTCTTCAAAAAGCATGTCAGGCGTTTCCATAACCACCTATTTTGTTAACGAAATCAAGTCGTTGTCAACAATGCATTCAACATTCTAACAGCTTCACTGGTCGACCACTCCGTGCTATGTTACGAAATTCATTCAAAATTCTCACTAATGATTGCAAAACAATATCAACAGTGACAGGAAGTAACTAGTAAATCATGCCAACAATAAACAGACTAATCACATTGATGCAATCGCTTTGATAACTTATCAGCCAATCAAGGTTCAGTTAATCCTAAGTTTCTTAAGTTCAACAAGCAGAGTTGAATTCAAATGAAACTACCACTTACAAGTACGCACTCAAAACTAATTTACCACAATCCTTTATGAAGTTGCACCGATAGTGATACTATCTCCCGAAAGAGGTACGTTTGCCAGCGCAACAGTTTAGAAAACAACTTAATTTGATGGACATCTGAATCACATTCTCCATTTGTACTTGGACAAACTTCTAATCTGTACAATTTGGTAAAAATGATGTGAAAAACACATCCACAGTTTCTGATTGGGTAAATACAAAACAGGCATTCATATTTAGATTCAATTTTAAGTTGACTTACTCTAGGTATAAGTTAAGATTTGAATCGCTATTTGCCGCTGCACTCATTTGTGACCGATAATCATGACCAGAATCTAGATTGATAATATGACACTTTTCCTGAAACCAAAGAAGGCAACATAAATAAAGCAATCTCATCAAAAAGAATGACTTTTCCGATAAAAGTAACTGTCTAATGGATTAAGAAGAGGAATAGAATTCATTGTATAGCGAATCAACAAAAATCATGCATAAAGGAAAAGACGGTAAAAGCCTTCAATTTCCATGAAAAATTGCGTCCATTTTGTACTATTTCATCATCATGCCAGAAAAGTCCTATTCAGTGCTCTGACGTGGCGGCGGCGTTTCCACTGAAGTGAAAGGGTGAAAGCGAAAATCGGGATTGGTGGATACTGAGAATCCATCTAGGGAGTTGGAAAACCTCGATTCCAAACCAATGGCGCACATGGGCTCAAGGTTCCAGATGGAACGAATGGAATATGAACCTATTTTGGTCACCGGAAATCATGAGAATGCAGCTCCAGATGTTACTCCCCTCACTATGTCAAGAGCTCTGGAAGTGATTTCCTGCGTTGTTCTGGGCGTCCGGGCAGTATCCCAGCCACCAAAAAGAATGTGAATCCACAGCATAAAATGAAGAGTTTGGAGCAATTCACTAAGTTTCTTGAGAATATCCAAGTTCTCTGCACTACGAACTTCATAACCGATTATTCAATTTATTGCTATTATATTGTTTTTGTAATTTGTATATATAAACTGTATTTTTTCCCTATAACCATTTTCGCTTTCGTCTTAATCTTTACTACACTCAACTGCTCCTCAACGCTTAGACTTCCAGTCTGTCCGTACTGTTTCGAGTCGCTAAACTGTTGCTCTCGTAAAGCTGTCCTCCAGTGCGATATCTGATACACATATCTTGAAACCATGCATACCTTTAAGCTCGCCACCTTCGACGTTTACACCTTGATATAGATCGGACAAACGGCAATAAGCGCTAGAGCCGAAGCTGCGTTACTCCACTGGATCCCCATCAACAGTCGTCTGTGTGCCGTCAGGCTACAAGGTTCATCTCGAGTAAGAAATAACCGGCAAGACAGACGATGTCCCCTTATCATCTTTGTTGTGATCCAATGGGTTGCAGCCCGGACACAACCAAGAATGAATTCTATCATCGGCTGAGTGACCTCCTCAACCAAGTGGACTCCACAGATAAGCAGTTCTAGCTGGGGGCTTGAATGCACAGGTCGGGTGTCTAGATTCAGAGTAGAGTTGCTTAGGTGGTTGATGGGAACTAGTTGGCCACAGGTCAGATTATGAGGATCGTCTTCTGCAGCTTTGCCCAGATCATAACCTATTTCTAGCCAGCACCAACTTCTGCCACAGCCATCGCTGTTGTGCCACCTGGCGTCCTCCCTCTGACACTCAACCCTGGACTCAAATAGATCATATTGCAACCAGTTACCGATAGCGTGGGCGCATACACCAATGCCACTCAATACAGAGTATTTGTTTCGACCCTCATCATGCTTTGGTGAATACTAAGCTCGTCTTGTGTTTTGGTGGTCATCTAAACCGTCGCCCTAAACAGGTCGTTGCAAACAAATCAGTTGCACCCAACATTGCAGCTAAGTACCAATCTGAGCTAGATTCAAGGCTAGTTACCGATCCTCCAGAAAGTGTTGACGAGCATCAGTCGCACTCGCAAGACGTCTTGAAAATTGAGAATAAAGCCGCTTGTGGCTAGGAAGAACGTTCCGAGCCACTGACAGCAAGAAGTCTGGTGTCTGTGAGACGGTCTCTCAGGTAGATGGTACGTCGATAAACAATCTTCCAAGACACCTGAAACGCTGGATGGAGCACTTCGAAAGGCATTCTGGATGGCCCACTACTCCAACGTTTTCAGTTTGTGTATCGTGATCTATGGTCATTTAACACTGACCAATCTAACAAAGCCGAGGTTCACAAGGCACTCCAAGTTCTGAAACGCCATAAGGCGCCCGAACAAGAAAACGTACCCATGACTCTTTTTAAGGATGAAGGAATAACTCCAGTCAGGGAACTGACTAGATTGTTTGAGAAGGTATGGCAGACTGAGTGTTCCATCACTCTGGAATGAAACCATCGTTATGCTCACCTTCCAAAAGGTCCTACGTAACGTATATGACAATTATCAGGCTATTAACCTCGCCTGGTTAACTAGTTTACTAGTTACTAGCCCGTCCTAAGCCCGCACAAAAAGGGAAGATTGGGCATAGGGCTAGCAACCCTACCCCGTAAAACAAATCTAACCGCTAAAGAAACTTCAAAGCACAAACAAAATATAAAAAATGAAAACAAACTTATTCCCCGCTGGAATCGGAGAGGCGAAATGACGCCAGTTGGTGAAAGCCTTCGGGAAGCCAATTGGCCGATGTGTCTTCTCTCCCTCGATGAAAGCGAAAGTAAACGTGGGGACATGGAATGTCCGCACGATGTTTGAACCCAGTAAGGCAGCCCAGATTGCAAACGAGATGAGAAGGTATCACATCGAAGTGCTTGGGATTTGCGAAAGCAGATGGAATGGGAGTGGACTCTCCAAACTTCAACTGGAGAAGAGAGTCAATAATCTACTCCAATATGGTCACCCAGACGCCAACCACGAGCACACTGGGATTTGGAGTGGCTATCATGATGTCCTCAAGAGCATCGAAGGCTCTCATGCAGTGGGAACCAATCTCCTCCAGGAGGATCATGACAGCAAGATTCAACTCAAAAGGAAGAAAGGTCACAATCATACAATGTTATGCACCTACAAATAATGCAGATGAAGAGAAGAAGGAGGAATTCTACAGACAACTTCAATCAACACTGGACAAGACGTCAGTTGGCGATTTCAAAATTCTAATGGGTGACATGAATGCCAAACTGGGTGGGGACAACACAGGAAGAGAACTAACCATGTGTCGAGAGGCGCTAGGTGAAATGAATGAGAATGGAGAATTGTTTGCAGAATTCTGTGCATTCAACGATTTGGTGATTGGAGGCAGTGTGTTCAGGCACAAAGATATTCACAAAGCGACATGGATTTCACCAGATGAACACACTAAAAATCAAATCGACTTTATCTCAATCTCAAGAAAATGGAGACGCAGTCTACTTAACACAAGGTCAAGAAGAGGAGCAGATGTAGGCTCAGACCACTATCTAGTGCAAGGAACCTACCTTCCAAATCAAGTTAAAAGCCTTCAAGGAAGCTGGTGATAGACCTCAATTCAAGTACAACACTCGGAAACTGAAGGATGAAACTACAAAGGAGATCTTCACGTCAGCCATCAAGACAAAATGGGAGACATCGAGCAACATCCCTGAAGAAACCTGTGTGGAAGAACACTGGAAGTCTTTGAAAGCTATGTGGAAAGAAACCTGCACAACAGTATTAGGAAGGAAGAAGAAAGAAGACAAGGAATGGATCTCGACAGATACCTGGAAACTGATAGAGGAGAGGAGGATGGTGAAGCGGAAGATAAACCAGTGCAAGGATGCTCAACGACAACAGGAACTGAGCACAATGTATAAAACACTGGACAAAGAAGTGAAGAAGAGTGCACGCAAAGACAAAAGACACTTCTACGAAACACTGGCAAGTGAAGCAGAACAGGCTGCAGGTAAGAGAGACCTGACGACATTGTATCAAATAACCAGGTTGCTATCAGGGAAGAGATCAACACAGATGAAGCCAATAAAAGATGAAGAAGGAAATTTAATTACAAAAGAAGAGAAACAGAGGAAACAATGGGCCGACCACTTCAAGAAGCTCTCGAATCAACCACCACCACCACCTGCACTTCGTCCAGAAATACCACCTGCAGCCGCTGAATTACAAGTGAACATAAATCCCCCAACGAAAATGGAAGTCCTGAACGCCATAAAGCTACTGAAATGTGGGAAAGCAGCAGGACCAGATGGAATACCGCCAGAAGCACTGAGAACAGATGCAGAGACAACAGCGGACATGCTCACACCACTATTGCACAAGGTGTGGAAGGAAGAGAAGATACCTGACGATTGGAAGAAGGGTTACCCTGTCAAACTGCCGAAGAAAGGAGACCTCAGTGCTTGCAAGAAATGGCGCGGAATCACTCTCCTGTCCACCCAATGCAAGTAAAATATTAAGCCGCATCATCCTGGAGAGGCTTAAGGATGCACTGGATTCAAAACTGCGACCAGAACAGGCAGGCTTCAGGAAGTACAAATCATGTGCAGACCAAATTGCAACGCTACGCTGTGCATCATCATATAGAGAAGACAGAAGTGATGAAGATACCGCACCACCACCATCAACAACAACAATAAACTCCAATCACCATCAACGGAGAAACTTAAAGGAAGTAACCTCCTTCACTTATCTAGGAAGCATTGTTTCAACTACAGGCGGACGGACGAGGACGTCAAAGTCAGAATCGGAAAAGCAAGACAGGCCTTCATTAGCCTGAAACCAGTGTGGAGATCTTCTGCACTCAGCATGTGGAACAAGATACGGATTTTCAACACCAACCTTAGTCAAGTCAGTGCTCTTGTATGGTTCAGAGACTTGGCGCGTCACGAAAGGCATTTCCAATAAACTACAGACATTCATCAACAACTGCTTACGCTCGCTGCTGAAGATCAGATGGCCAGAAAGAATAAGCAACAAGGAGCTCTGGAACGAACCAACCAAGAACCTATCACGCAACAAATATGCAGGAAGAAGTGGAGATGGATTGGCCATGCACTGAGAAGGCCGACGGAGGACATCACGCGTCAGGCCCTCGAGTGGAATCCCCATGGGAAGCGACGAGTTGGACGTCCTAGGGTGACATGGAGGAGGTCGTGCGAGGAGGAAATGAGAGCTTCTGGGCTGTCGTGGGACCAGGTTCAAAAGATCTCAGAGAACAGAGGTCACTGGAGGCGTGCTACTGAAGCCCTATGTTCCACTAGGAACCCAAGGGACAAATAAATAATAAAATCAGGCTATTAGTCTGTTACCAGTAGCATCAAAAATATTGGCTGCTATCATACTTCGCAGACTTTGCAAAACACATCAGAAAATGATTCGCGAGGAGCAGGTCGGGCTTCGTTCAGGACGTGGATGTCTTGAACATGTGCCTACCCCCCACCAGACGCCTGAAATCGGCCACACATATTCCAGACAACAATCGTTATGTTTCTTGACATTCAGGCTGCTTTCGACTCGTTGGACAGAACTGTACTCTGGAATTATCTGTTAGACAGGGGTGTGCCTGATAGGTTTGTTGACATTCTAAAAGCCCCATATGAAAACACCTCAGGTAGAGTGAGGGCATTATTCCAAATCAGCAATGGGGTTAAGCTGCGCTGCGCGACTCCTCCATTCCCCTTTAACGTTACCATAGATGACATTCTTGAGATAGCTCTGAAGAAGCTGTGTGATGGTGGTGTAGGTCTACTACCTGGAGAACGGCTATTCGACCTCGAATGTGCGGACGATATCGCCTTACTGTGCGATGAACACAAGCTACTCAGATCGCACTTAATCAGTTAGTGATGAATGTCCGTCAGTATGGTATGTGCTTTGCACCATTGAAGTGCAAAGTACTCTTGCGAGATTGGCAGGAGCCTGTGCTTGCACTCAGCATCGGTGGTGAGCCTTTGGAAGTGGTTGGAGAGCCCGCGTATCTTGGTAGATGTGTGAGTGTGAAATTTCTAACCGCACACCGAAAGCCAGAGTGGCATACGCTTTCGGCGCGGTCGTGACGTTAGTCTGACTAAAAAAGGTCAGGTTTAGAACGCTTCAATGCCAGTAGTTCTGCCCTCTACATGTGAAACCTGTCTTCTCCGAGCTGAGGATGTGCGACGACTCTGTGTGTTCGACCATTGTGGTTTCCGTAGGACTCCTCATATCCAGTGGCAACACCATATAACTCATTCTGAAGTGCTATAGTGTCTGTTTGTGTATGATGACGTTCGTCATTCAATAAGTGAAGCCATCTAGAAACACCGGCTTCGGTGGTTTGGACACATGTTATGCATGATGTCCCAATGGCTTCCATACCGTTCATTGTTTTCTAGCCCTTGGACTGGATGGAAGGAGCGGAGGGGTGGTTAGTGTATGACGTGGCACCATGGAATGAAGGATAGTTGTATAGGGTTAGGATCTGTTGGTGCATCATGACTGCATGGGTCGGGCACGAGAGAGTGCGCAACTCAGTGGCTTGAGATGTCATCAGATATGGCTCAGAATGGAAACCAGTGGCGTCATGCTGTAGCTTCCTTCTTCTATCTTCTGCTGCTGAAAAGTAGTGAATGCTTTGTTTTGAATGCATCTTATTGGACTGCCTTTCTAATCATTCTATTCTTTTTGTTTTTACCAATCCAATTCCCATAGCTTTGTCTTCATAATGTTGTTATATTACTTTTTGGTGCCTTTCCTGTACCATGTTTATGTTCTCATATTAATAATAATAATAATACGATAGCAATAAAAAATTTCATCCAAACTTGTTGATCTAGAAAAGAGCTTGGTCGCAGCCATGCATACTGTAACATGCGATTACGTAAAAGGATATGATAGTGACAGTTTTGACAACCAAGTTGTGTAGGTGGCGAAGCTTAGTTTATCGAATCGACACTTGACAAGTGCAAGATAGGTGACGCATCACCAAATGCTCTCATAGGAAGTTTGAGATTTAGGTTGGTTTATTACAAACACATCTGGAAAACTCACGCCACCGGCTTCGGAAGATAGCAAGCTACAAGATAGTGATTTTAGGACCCACCTTTTGTGACCCCCGTCCTCCGCCGGTGGGGGACACAATATTAGCATGGTACTGGTGGTCATCCATGGGAAACAACCTACTGCTGTCACTCTCCGTCCATCTTGGCCCTTGGAATCTGTTGTAATGTAGATATTTGTACAGGACCACGGAACCTACTGATCAATAGAGGCAAATGCCGTCTTCAGATCAAAAGAAAATGGCTAGTTCGGATAAATATGCTTCTGTTTCATGAAAAGATCGATATGCTCTTTATTAGGTCTGAAGGCTATCTGGTTTTGGCAGGTTGGCTCTTTTCCTCAAAAGTGGAAAATCATTGAGAAAAGGAGAATGATATTGAAATCAGAAAGAACAAGAGTGGGTATAAAACTAGTAGCATAAAGATCATCACTTAGTAGCTAGAGTCGCTGCACTTACATAAAAAATACGAAGTGGAAATTCTCAGTCTCTCAATAAGCGATCACAATCATAAGCTGGAGGATGTAGGTTAGCTAATCCAATCGTAAACGTTAGAGATAGAAAAAGTCTCAAAGGTGAACAGATGGCGAAACCAACAACAGTAACATTTAACACTTACTTTAAGAAGATCAATAAATGGTAGGAAATTGACACGTTGTAATCCGTTTTTGTACAGATCTAAAAATAGCAATAAGCAAATTATTTAAAAAATTCCCAGATTCATGTACTTCATTGATCATCTCAGTCTATAAGAATGAGGAGAAATCTTCTGACAACCATAGAGGTTATAGATTTACTAGTGGACATAACCTTAGATAGGTGTGACTTCACGGGGCTTGTGACCCATGGTGTATAGGGCATTTGGCTGACTTTGAGTATGCAGACGATATTGTTGTGCTAGGTGAATAGGCTGACAAAATGCAGGGTGTTGTGAAGACGTTGACCAGAAATCTGAGTATGTTTTGTGTGTGTTTCACATCTGTGAAATGTAAGGTGATGCCCGAGGACTAGTGTTGAGCGAGTGTGGATGTGATGGTCGTGAGTGAAGTTGTGGAATGCATCGACAAGTTGACCTACTTCGGGGAGTTTGACCAGGTCGAACGGTCTGGTTGATGACGAGATCTGAGGAGTGATAGAGAGTTGTTTGTTTAGCACTTGCCAACATACGTCACCTCTGGTGCCGGCGAGATATGCGACTGCCTATTGTTGTTAAAGGACTAGGTATACTGTGCTACAATGGATTCTATGCTGCTAAGGAGGTGTGGTGAGTGGGAGGAGATATGAAGAGACTAGAGGTTTCTGAGCATAGTGATTTTCGTAGCGTCAGTCACGTGTGGTGGGATCACCATGTGAGGTATGTTGAGGTCGATCGAAGGGTACTAGGCAAGATAGGTAAGTCGAATAATGAGATTGTGAACATTAGTCAGTCGAGATGGCTTTGACATGTACTGCGCATATAGAGCCATTACCTGTCTTGGCGTACCATGCTAGTGGAAGTTAGAGTAGTTTGGAAGAGGGTTCTGAGTAGTCAGACCAAGAAGTAGCACCAACCGACGAAGGCACTTACTGGTGGTCTGAGCAGTGTGGATATGCAGACTGTCTGTTTGGGGTACCGGAAATGAAAGGAATCAGTGGTTGAGGACTGTTGGTGACATGGCTGGAAATTGGTCACAATGGTGCAGATGCATTCACTCCTTAACATCTTCTAAAGCTTGAATATTCAGATTGTCTATTCTTCTCTCACACCACTTTATCTGCTTCGATATCACTACTTTCCTACCCACCTATTCTTTGTACACTACAGTGATGTGTAGCAAATTGAGTCGATGAACTTGTGTGTGAGATTCTACGTTAATTTTGTCAGTCAGTCAGTATGAAAGTATGGGACTCCAATGTTTACAGAAGCTCTCGCCATCAAACGTTTTCAACCTGACATTTGTACTTAGAAAGACTATAATTAACCTTTCTTTACTCTGTTTTACACTTCACTTACAATTCACTCACCAGTCCAAATCAGACGCTTATGCAATACCGAGTGCCTGTTTCACATTGCAGCTTTTATTATTGATATTGTAAAGGGAATGAATATGGTGAACTATTACATTTTGAAGATTCAATACTGCATCATACGTATTGCTTGGAATGAAGTTATTATTATTGCCATATAATTTTTCGTTGATTGATTGCATCATTCGTTTATTAATTACTTGCCGACGATTAATAACAGCCTAACTTTTCTAGAGTTTTTCCGTACACTTACGTAAACTACTTGCTCTTTAACAACCCCTTATTTTACACTCCTGGTTGTTTGTTGACCCCCCCCCTTTTCTACAATTCCAGAATTTCCTATCTCATCACATATAAATTGTAACTGATTTTAATTAGGATTTGTGATGATTAATTCTGCATTTCCTCGACTCACTACCTTATTGTTATTCCTGGATTTCGAATCTTCACTTATTTCTGCATATTTAAGGTATGTTAAGTCGTTATTACTACCACTGTTAATATTTCATCTAAATTCCAGACTGTTTGCAGCTGATGAAGGGCCATGAAATAAAAATGAGCTCATTTTATTCTGCAGATGTCTTTGTTCTTGCTTCATTCAAACAATACATTTGTTTGAAACTGAGAACCATAATTTCACATGCCATCTCCACTGACCTAATCGTCAAAATCGACGTAGAACAAGGCATTACTGCATAATGGTTGAAGTTGCAACATCTCGTATTACCACATCAAGCAACAAAGCAATTAGATCAAAGATGAAGAAATAAAGAAGAATCTGTCAGAAGCAATGGAAATCAGTAAAATGGAAGGAAGAATAAGAAGATACTGGGTTCAGTATGACGATTAAGATACGGATAATGAGGGAGATACAACTGTGCTACAGAGATCGATTTTAAGTCATATCACCTAGAATCTCCAACCACTGGTTTCCACTGCCATGTGGACCCCAACCAGGAAGCCTACACTGAGTTAAAGACACAGTAATCTGGGATTTCATTCAAAAGTGAAGAGTTCATGGCAAAACTAAATGTTTACACACAAAACTATGAATATTTTAAATATATAATCTGTCTCACCGGTGATAGATATCAGCAAACAAAGCACTGAAAACCAGGAAGCACTAGAAAGCTGTTTTGTTCTAGTTTGCCTCTACCCGATTGGTGTTCATTTTTGAAGAATTTCATGGTATTTACACAACAACAAATAGATGATCACTTGAATAATGCACCAAAATATTGTGGTTCATGGAAGAAGGTTAGAACTGGTAGTGCAGGATTTACTTTCTACGTAAAGATGTAGTTCAAAAGATGGAAGTAATCATTTATATGAAAATAATTTTCAGATTCTATGAGGAAGGATTGTCTTTCTCAACAATGATTAACACTCGACCTAGCGGAATAACTAATAATCAGATGGGATGAAACGTCAACAGTGAAACGCTTCACACCAAGGTTGGAAGTGAATCATTAGTCTGAAATTAATTGAGAAGACACTGACTAATTGGTTATCTGTATGTTATAACCCTCTAGCTGTTACTCGTTGACTCACATGACTTTCAGATTCGCTTCTAACGATGAGAGTAACCCTAAGGGCCACTCTAGTAACCAGTTAAGTTTCGTAATTTCGATTGGAATGACAATCTTTTAAGAAGTGAAGGGAAGTGATTATTTATTTCAGTAGCTGTTCAGGAGATATTAGAGTCACTTAACGATGACTTGGTACGTGATTAATTCTTCAAATAATCACCACATGTTTCCTATACACAGTCTCACCTACGTGGTTAAAATCACCCAATTCCTCTTCCTACCTCAACCTCCGTACAGAGTTTGATGTTCACTATTCCTGCATATTCACGATCCCGGCAGTGACTGACTGACTGACTGACAAAATCAAAGTAAAACTTTGCCACACATCACTGTAGTGTACAAAGAATAGGTGGGTAGGAAAGTAGTGATATCGAAGCAGATAAAGTGGTGTGAGAGAAGAATAGACAATCTGAATATTCAAGCTTTAGAAGATGTTAAGGAGTGAATGCATCTGCACCATTGTGACCGATTTTCAGTCATGTCACTAAGAATTCAGTGCATACATACACCTAAGTTGTGTCCACAAAGCAACATAATTCATAAAAATGAAATGACTGATTTTATAAATAGGAAACAGAATTCTGCACAATAATAGGCAGTCTATTTTGGAATCATGAGTCGTAGAGAAGTGAATGGAGGGTCAACGAAAAGCTCTTGAACTGAACTGTACAACAATGCTACTAAATGAGTCTCAAGTAAAATGTCTTTCCAAACAAATAAAACAATACTGTCGACAATACTTGTCTGAGATTACTATTCTTCTTTCATCGGGAACCTACCCAGCAACCTTGTGCACATTCGTGCAGTAGGCAATGCACAACATCCATTGTGTAAGGGCCAATGATACTACTTAGCTGACCAAACCTGAGTAGGTGGAGCGATGTTCGAACTCGCAACCCACTGGTTGAAAGTCAACTTCCTAAAGCAATGAGCCACAACTCCCATTTCTTCATTTCGTCATAACACTACCCAACTTAATAGACAATGAAAGATCAACTGACCAGTGTAAATCTTTAAAGATAGACTCAATGAATGAAAGATACACTCGGCACAAAGATCTTCAACGTATGATTAGCAAACTTTTCAGTGTTTGCGACATCTGGATACTCATATTTTTCATCAGAACTTCTTGTCAAGATAACTTTTGATGAAAAATCTCTTCAAGTTATCAATGTTTAATCATTTTTAAAAGCTATCACTACTATTTTCAAACATCTTCCCCTCTAATAAAAATAACAAATATTAAAAAGTAAGATAAACTAACCGTCTGGAGAGCGATTCGATGTGGCTACAACAACAGCACCAAAGTTGAATAGATTCTCGAATAAGCGTTTCAATATCATTGCATCTGCAATATCTGTTACCTGATCATCAAATCGAACAATAGACAAGGAGGGGAAAAGTTTACTTTCAGAATTTCTGACGTTCATGATCCTCATAACAAAAAATAATATATTTTAAAGTTTAGAATTTTCGGGAGAAAAACGGGAGGTGATTCTCGTCACCAGTTATATGCCGATTGATAAACTAATAAAAATCATTCTTAGCTTTCATCGAATATCTATTTGAGAACGGTTTCTCGAGTATGCAGTAGAAAGTTATAGCCTCCAGTTTCTATCATGTTTTTAATAATAATAATAATAATAATAATAATAATAATAATAATAATCACTTTATTTCAAACGATTTCGATACAATTTGGCATTCTGAGCATGTGATATTGCAACAAAAATGTATTCCTTCACAACATTTAAAATAGTGTTAATTACACCGATTGAAATTATATAAATAATACTTATAACGAAGAAATTTACACATTAATGGTCAAAATATTGGAAAGACTGATTATTTATGGTTATAAAGTTGATAAGTGAGTTCTGTCGCAATACTTTTTTCCTCACACAGGATGCGTATTAGACAAGGCACAGTCGAATTCTTGTATTTAGCCAGAGGAGCGCACAGTCTGATATAATCTCTTCTTGTCCTCTCAGAAGATATGTAATGAGACAGGTGTGAATAAAGTGGATGCACAGTACTAGATAAATGACTGTAGCTGTCTGTCTGCTTGGATTTAAATATCTGTCAACTATAATGCTAATCAGCTGGCCCAGAGGCAAACCGCTTACTCCACTGACAACTTTTACAGACCTACGTTATATAACATAGTTTTTTTTAACAGACCATAAAAGATAAACGGGGAACAATAAAGAATAATGAGTAAAATGCAGGAACTCATAAATTATTAAAATTATACCAGACGGCATCAGCTTTTTATGTAATGCACTGAATGAAAGATTTTCTCAGAAGTCAACAAGTTTCAGGAGGTAGGAGACCAGTACACTAATGGATAATAAAGATGTGACAATAAACGCATGCAACTCGAAATGATGACGTTCATAAGGGGATTTTTCTTGGCGGATGCATACTGTCATCAGTGAAAATTTACAGATAAGTGACATAACTTGATTCTTTGTGGTTACTGATAAGTAAGCATTTTACACGACTCCTATCCAGCCTGGATGTTCACATTCGCAGTTGGGCTGGTCAATTTCCGGTGTTTATGCATTAACCTGATTAGCTGAGAGTGATGTGTCTAGGATAGGTGTTTCACAAACCAAAACACTGTCCACCTCAAATTCCAGTGTTAATTGAAGTAGTTTTCGATTGGAACAAAAAATATAACTAATCCAAGAAGTCATCAACAATAGATGCATTCACTCTGACATTTTCTTGGAGACCTTTACCACTGAAACCGCCAGAATAAACCACGTAATCAGTCCATCGAGTCTTAGACTGTTGGTCAGTAGGGAAACTGGAAACTTTCAGGTGGGGGTCCGCTGCTATATAACATTTCATGATCTTCTTTATCCTCTCATGTTCTACGGCTTTTGTTTACTCTATTTTCATTCCCTTGTCTTTCATTTTGTTGCCTTCGTATCTTAATATAAGGTAGAGCAACTCGGAATTTCAGGCAGCAATGCCAAGTCCTATGTTAGTGCCGAGTGACTGAGTGCAATAATTTCTACTTTCATGTTCCTTTTGAATTTCTTCATTACATTTCATTAGAGCCGATAATACACCTTCAGTCTCCAAACTGTTTCCGTGTAATATGCATAGACGATTCAGATATACAAATACAGCATCCTGTCTTCCATAACTGAACTTCAAATTGCATTTGGAAGCTTCAAAAAAGTCATATCAGACAAAAGGATTTAGTATTGCCAACCAAGGCATATGTCGTGTTACTGAGACAGATAAATGATATCTAATTGTACTTATTTAATTTAACCCAATGTTTTAAATCTGTATGATTTACACTGCACATATCTGAGGATTCAGTGGCTAGTTCCGCTCACTTTAAAGTTAGTTGGATACGACTTGAATTAAGGTCAAAAAGCATACTTCTCTACTGCATCCCTTTGATCACTACATAGATACGGTACAGTTCTACTGAAGGATTGTTTATAAACGTAGAAATGCAACATCCACTCTTAATATCTGCGTACATATCGATTAACTTCCTGATAGGTGACGTACTGTTTGGTTTTGAATATCATTAGTATTTGTTGATTGAATTAGTTGCGAACAGAATTGAAACAATCAATATAGTTCTAAAAAACTTATGACTAGACCACTGAGCTACAATCTTAGCACACTGCTATTTACCACAACCACTAAGGCTCTATGAAGAAGTAAAGTTATTGCCAAACGTTTCAGAATTACTACTTCCTTATCATAGACTAACCTGAAACTCATCGAAGCACAACAGCTTGTATCTGTCTATGATACCTTTTGCCACTGGTGGGATAGGATCAAATGGCTTATTATTTCTTGGAGCTGCTGAACGAACATCGTGTATTCCTTCAAGAAATAAATAAATAAATAAATAAATAATTTAAAAAAACAAAAGGAACTCACATATATTACTCGTGAAGTTAATTAAAACTTCAGTAATAGTATTCACAGATTTCCTAGTGTGAAAACCCAATTGTTTTCATTTACATCAAGTTTACATAGAACTAACAGACAAAATTATTGGCGTCCTCATGAAAGGTAGGAGTTGCATAAGGAACAAATGACCATATGATCGAATTTATGCAATGGGGTTGAATGCCTAATATAAAGTATATCTGACTCGTAGGATAATGTTTCGTCAAACTAAGTATAGACCTGTCAATTGTTGATTCTACTAGGCTTTCAATCATTTGATCACAAATATGAATTTCACTACACACATCAAGGTTCGGTGAGGTAGATACTGAGATATAGAGACAAACAAAAGCATATGACCTAGGATTACTGCGTAACAGTGGCAGAAAGTCAGACAAAATCAACGTAGAACATCGCACATAGGCACATCAATACAAGTTGCACACTTCATAGTAGTATACAAGCAGGTTACCAAATGTCTTTACCACTGTTCTTACAGCAGGCTTTATCGATTTGAAAACTGTTGCTGCTCGAATCTTTGAACACTCAGTAGATCAACTTTGCAAATTTGTCGTTTTTATCATGTGAGATCAAGTAAGCCCACCCAGACCCTGTATCCCCATCTTAGGAACACAGTATACATTTACTGATCGAGATTCCAGAGTTTCGGCAAGAGATGCCTGCCGTCTGATTCGGTATAGGGTTTGGAAGACGAAAGATACAATGTGAGGAATAATAAGTGATGTTCGGCTGATTTGGATCGTTAAGAACGATTACAGAGTAAGAAGCAAAGGGAATTGTATAGGTTTAATTTTGATGACAAGAACGTGCAGTGAAGACAAAGGAAGAGAAAAAAATTAGGAAGATAGGTTACGGCTATATGGGTTTTTCATACTGCTGGAAGCGCAGCAGTGGTTGGTGGTATCCGACCACCAAGACTACAGAGGCTTTTGTCTATGTGAAGTACCTGAAATAATACATACGTTAATCACAATCTACTTAAGATTACTGTTTCAGAAATCTAAGATATTTGTGTTTCTTAACGAAACTATCCAGCTTCCAATCAACTATAAATTATGTCTTAGTATATCTGTAAGACTCCACACCACTACCGAAAATACCCAACATAGAGTGAATATATCTGCGCCATTGTCACCAATTACAGTCACCTTATCAACAGTCTTCAACCATTGATTACTTTTGTTACTGAGACCCCAACCACGCAGTCTGCATCTCCCCACACACTTCACACCAACATTCAGAGACCTCATCGACTAGTGCCACGTCTTGGTCTGGTCACCTTCAATCCACTTCCAAGCCATTCTACTTCACCTAACATGGTACATGAAGGCAAGTAGCGGCTCGACATGCAAAGTATATACCAAAGCCAACTCAGTCGACTAAGGTTCACAATCTTATCGGTCGACTTAACTATCTTGCCTAGAACCCTACCCCTGACTTCAACATTCTTCACTTGGTGACTCCATCAAACGCGAGGAGTGGTACAAAGACACCGATAAAAAACTGTAATCCCTCAATGTCTTGACTTTTACCGACAATGTCTTATAGACGTACAACAGAATAGAACAGACTGCAAAACAGCAAACTTGAGTTTCGACAGATAGCTGGACATTTTCATATTCAGTGCGACAGATCAAGCAACATTCCACAACTTTAATCCAGACCATTAAATTGAGAAAACTTGCGGCAGACCAGTCCTACAGCATCATCTTACACTTGGCAGGTGCCAGCAAAACGCATTCAAGTCAAACATATTCAGATTTCTGCTCAACGCGTCCACAAGACCCTGCATTTCGTTAACGTATTCACCTGGCATGACAATATTGTCCACGTGTTCAAAGTTAACCAGATGACCTACGGGGAGTAAGTCAATCTCTGTGAAGTCAGACCTATCTAAGGTTATGTCCATTAGCACACCTATAACAAAGTTAGGTAGGAACGGTGACAGTGGGCACTCCTGGTAGACACCACTAGTTGTCATTAATTCACATGACAAATCTCTACAAGCCCTTACACGACTGCATGGGTCCGAGTAGATGACTTTGATCAGTGTTATATACTTGCTTTCTGTTCCCTTCACAGTTAGACATTATCACAACACCGCATGGGCGACTCGGTCAAATGCTGCCTTTAGGTCAAGAAATATGACAAGTGTCGATCGTTGGTGGCTAAGTATCCCTGTGCTACAGAACCCATCTGAGGGTGAGAATATGATCAATACACCCCTGACCTCCAGGTCTGAAACTTGCCTGCTTTTCTTGAGTTTGTTGTTCCCGAGCTGTAGTCAGGCGTCGGATAACTATGGACCCTAGGATCTTGGACACAACATTGGTTAAACTAACTCCTCTATGGTTGTTAGAAGATTTCTCCTCATTCTTATAGACTGAGATGGTCAATGAAGTACACCAGTCCGACGACACTGCCTGTGGTTCCCACACACTACGCTGTACCTCAGTCAGCCTAATCAACAATCCCCTACCTCCATCCTTGAAAACTTCGGATGCCAAACTCTCAGGTCCAGCTGCCTAGCATTGTTTCAGGTTCGATACAGCTTTCTCAACTTCGAGCAAGGTGAAGAACAGACCAATTCAGGTTCGAGCTGGGTGTTAAGCAACTGAAGCGCTGCTGAGAGTTGGTTGAACTTTGCTTCACAGTGTTCTGTTCAACGTTACAGCCCCCTGTCCTGGGACGTTATCGACATCCAATTATTTTCGATGATGGGTTCACTCACCATCGTCTTCCCCTTGCTAATATCCTTGACAGGCCCAAATAGTTGCCGAGTGTTACCCATCGTTGGTGCCTTCTCCATCTCTTTAACTTTCACCACCCACCTCTGTTCATGATCGACGCGAAGACTCTTGGTCAACCTATGTTCAAGTTTCTTTCGCCTTTCACTGTGGCCACACCCAGTCAGAATCAGTCTTCTCGCATCAATCAGTTTGGATGACATTTGCTAACTGTCGGTTGTAGATTACCAATTGTGTACCTCTGTTTCTACAGCCGACTTAATATCAGGCTATGTCAGGTTTCCTCAGCATGAGTATTGCTGTCATGTTCAAGTAAATACGTACTTGGCGTCTTCATCTTCCAATGGACCACAGACAGGCTCTACTACTGCCTGTTTACAGCAACCAGTAAGGCTCAGATATACACGAACCCGTAATAGCGCGTGATCGGAGTTCAAACTGGTACTCCAGAAGGAGAGGCAATCCTCTACTGATCCTCTCCTACAATGGCTTATAGCAATGTGATCTATCTGTGTCCATCGTTGGATCGATGTCGGAGGACGCCATATGAGACAGTGTCTCTTCTTATGATTAAAGTTAGTGCTGGCCAGAACCAAGTGATTATCGGAGCGAAACTCCAGAAGACGATGACTGCTGTCGCTTTGACGGCATGGGATTCCGTGAATACCTCCAACATGTGTGAGCTGCATCGTGAGGTACAGACTGTTTAGCTAGTGGCTTCGAGTTGCTACATATCAAGACTTGAAGACTCCTTACGATATGGCTCAAAATCGATCGTAATGGTGCAGATGCATACACTCTGTCATTTTCAAAGTCGTCAAAAATCTTCATTAACCGTCTCTAATTTATTCACTCTGTATAAATTTTAGTTCACTTGCAAGTTGCTTATTTTTGATATACCTTGCTGCATGCTGCTGTGAAGTGCAACAGGAAAAAATGATACCCTTGTGTACCAGGTTCTACGAAAATCTGTCTAGGCCATTGGGTAATAATAACAGGTCTTAAGTTGAAAGTGTTTATCTGTTCAACTTTTAAAATCCCTGCTTCATTGGAAATCATGAAGGGGATGAAATTTGTGAAAGCGTTTACCATTTGATACCAACACAACTTGAGAATGTATAAATCAATCAGATCAAAATAAAGCTAGTTTAACTTACAGTGAAGTTCTACAGATAAAAGTGAGGTGTTAGCTGGAACAGATTTCTTTTTCTACTCGTTGTAATGAGAAGGCAAAATTTCTAGTAAATGACTGACCATTAGGGAAAATAGCTTATTAATGTCACAGATACAGAGTGGCCTTATATCAGTACCTACCTCCCACTGGAATCATTCACACTACATTCATAACTTTTTTTGGTCCTACTACGTCTCCACTGCACTTTCTATGAATGTATAGCCTCCAGCTAAAAGCAATGAGACAAACAACCTGATCACTGCGTTAGTTACCACCGAGAGAAGGAAACAAGACGAAATATCTTCGTGACCATTCGAGTATTCGATATCTTGGTTGGTTAGTCTTCTACTTAAATGTCCTGATCTTTCACCAAAATGTTAGCTATGCAATGATTTGCGAAGGAGCAAATAAACCTGTCACTCGGAAGTGAACTGATCAATATCCTTAGAATTGTCCATCTAAAACTACAATATTGAGAGTTTGGAGTGAATTATTCATAAACAGGTATCTACTGAGTGGAAAGTTACTACCAGCTCCATGATAATATGATTCGTAAAAATGTTAGTAGCTTCACTAACAAACATGAAACAAGTGGAAAGAATCAAAAACTATAAGTTGTAGTTAATATTTGGATTGTTTGTATTAAATGTTCAGGAGAACTCAATTCCGTGCTGTCTCAGGAAGTGATGAAAAATTTAACTAAATAGATCGACATAAAAACGGAACCTGATACTACTAGTTGTTGACAAGGCGAAATACAGAAATGAATATAATCATATTAACATATAAGAAATATTATGAGAGGAAATAAGGTAGAAGAAATAACAATACGTGGTATTTCGATTCAGATGAAATTAGTGTATGAAAGCATGTATTAACGAGGAAAATGATTAGGTCATATCACCTAGTCTCTAACTCTGAATAAGTACACATTATTAGGAAATGTAATTTTGTTATGAACTCTCCTTCTGGAGGCTGACTTCAGGTAACTACTTTCGCATCAAGACCATTGTTTATCTAAACACACATTTATCAACGTGAGTTACACCGTCATTAAGCAGAGTATGAGTATGTAACAGAACTAAAACGATTTTGAATTCGGACAAAGCATCTTTTCGTCAGATAGTCTTGGTACGAAGTGTGCTGCAACGTACACAGATGAAAGAAGTGCAACACATTGTACAGATCCGTAACGAAGTAGTAGATAGATCAAATCACAGCTAAACACTTTCGGAATGACATCTCAGTCCTGTGTTTGAACGTTTTTACATCAAAATCATCAACAGATACCAACATACACTCTGACCTGTCACTATTAAAATTTGTATTTGGAGAGCGATAATCCAAACTGTGTCGAGGGATAGTACGTTCCAGAAATATGACTTTCCGAGTCAACCTGATACTTTCAGTGTAGTGTACCAGTCTTGCATCAAATTACAGAGAAATCTGTTGTTCATTGACATTTTACAAGTGAACAAACAAATATCACAGGAATCCAGTTTTTTTACACCTAACATCCCTAGTTTTCTTTTATAGTAGACTTGTTGCTCTTCTCCGTGGAATTAGAGGTCTAGAAAATTGTGACTAGTTTAACTGAACGTCCCCAGAAAAACGATATATAGGACATATACGTATGCGATGAAGTGCATACTATGACCAGATTGGATACTGAACCAGTTAGACTAAACGTAGGTGACTGTAAATTTCCATATGATATATGATGTAAACAGCTAGAACAGATAGTATATCAAATTTGTAACGAAATATATAACCAAGAAGAGTAATGTTATCATGAAAAGACTTCTAATAAGCGTTTACATACAATGTTCAGTTTTGAGTTTTCCAAGTGTTTCGAATTTAATTGTTGTCTGTGATCATACCAGTCGTTGGAATTTCAATCCCACATTGATGGATAGCAAGCATAATATTCTCTTGTTGTTATGTAGTCTGTCTATCCAACACACTCTCCTGTCCCATGTGGCTGACAATTGAGGTAAGTCACTTTCATCTCGTGTCACATGTAACATGTGTGAATGTGTATGCATCTAGGGATCTCTCCATTGATTCATACTAGACTTTAGTTTGTCAATGTTGTTCCCACCAAAGGGATGCTTCTCTTCACATGCAAGGGTTGCTACCGATTGACTCTTCTGAGCTATATAACAGACTACATAACAACAAGAGAATATTATGCTTGCTATCCATCAATGTGGGATTGAAATTTCAACGACTGGTATGATCACAGACAACAATTAAATTCGAAACACTTGGAAAACTCATCACTAACTGAGATGTGCGAATATTCTTGCCACATATTCCTATGAAGAATTGACTCATTCCACACTGTATAAACATCCATTGATGGGAGGCGTAATCCCAAAAAAAGGACAACGCAAAACAACATAAAGAGCCTAAAGTAAGGCAATGACTGTTGAAGCTGAAGGCAAAATCAGAGGTATTTAAGAAGAAATCAGTAGGGAAAATATCCGAGAACGATTTAAAAAAGTCACTTCTCAACACTAGCTGCCATGTGTCTGTAGGGTGATAATATAACCGACTAGTGGCTATTAAACCTTAAACAATAACTAACAGCAACATTTATCCGCAAAACACAAGACTTTCCACGGTAGGGAATGCGGAATGTTTTCATTTAGAACTTACTTCCGTGAGCTTCAAACATGAAAGAATGGAAGTGAGTTCTCCACTTGTACTCAAAATCACAGCACTGGTAGAACATATCCATTAACATTGTTTTCCCACAGCCTTCAAAGAAATAATACGTTTCAGTATTAAAACTAACCCACAGGACCGTACAGATAAAGACCTTTATGTGCCTTTTTACCATGAAAAAACTAAATTGCTAGACAAAAAGATCATCAGAATAACTCACGGTATGCATCCAATTATTGTTTTTAGCTTCATTCAAGTCTTTACATAAGCTGTCAATTTGTCTGACAACAGACAACTGAAAATTATCGGATTTTATTTTTCCTTCTCTCACTAATCTGTCATACAGACTTGAAGGATTGATCCCGCCAGTAATTTTTCTTAAGGGAAGTAGAGAACTATTTCGAGTGCCGAACACTAGTCTTGTTGAGAAATATTTAACAAAGATTTCACAGGAAATAATTTGCATGAGCACGTAATCCGACTGCAAGTGGTCTTAAAGTCTTCGAACACAAGAAAACCAGCATATGTGACCTTCAATTACTGAAAAATACGGCATTTCTTTTCAAACTGTGATTATATTCATCAGAACTCGATAACCAGAACACCTGTCGTGACTTCACACTTGGTTTCTTTACTTGACCTACGTTCGCATGGTACCTTTAGAAAAGAAAAACAACTCTGACGTTAGAAATGTTAGTCTTCATCTTTCATCCTTTAGCCAGACATCTAAGCCAGTTTTTATGTCTGAATAAGTTAATGTTCCTCAGCAATATTGTCTTCTCCATAGTCCTACTAGAAATCTAAATATTTGTTACAGAATCGATGAACTACATCTGTAGTCCAGAAAATATTCTTTGTATGCACGCGTCAGTTTCCCTTGTCAGTTCACAGACCCAAAAGCACAAGAGTGCTGTCGATTAACAACTACTCTATTCCGATAGTGATGACGAATTAGACCTGATAGGAAAGGGGGAACTCTTGTGCTGCTAGCCTTTTGCATCACAACGGCTAGGTGAATGTTCGGTATTCTGCTTGAAGTATCAGGCGAAAGAGCCATATTTGCTGTCTCTGGCAAAGAACCTTGAAGTCTACAGACACTGGCTTCCACGGCATTGGTAAGGATATATTGTGCCTTCTCATGCTATGCTTTCACAAAAGGCTGCTGACCGAAGCTAAACAGTTGTTTACTTGGTCGTAAGTATTTGCAAAAGACATGACAAGCCACAGTCATATATTTGCTGCTCCATCTGCACTGTAAGAGTTGCAACCTAAGAGAATCTCGGGAATCCAAGATGAGTTTGTACAATATTCGAATCGCTTTTTAACCGGTTCTCCCTATTTGCAATAGAACGGTAACGTGTTTCTTTGTTATGGGCACAGAGAGCAGCATCTTCGAGGAATACTGTAAAATAGGTACCCTTTTCAGTGCGATGTTCATTTGTAGAGTCATCACCTGATTTTTATGGGGAAGTCACTGTTTCTCTAGCCACTACTTATGACACACAAGGGCATGAAATGCTCAACGTTTCATCAGGCGTTACCTCAGGTTTTCACAAACGCTGGAACGTGACACTCCTCTACGTAAAAAATGCCATGATTGGCTTCCGACAAAATCCTGTCTGTTTTCATTTTCCTAATCTTTTCGGCGTCGGTTAGATGGAGTTTTCTGGTCGTTCACTCTCTGATCCACTTCAGGTCACTTTGATGCACACAATTGTTGAATCATGGGCTACCCTTCATTTCTTATCCTAGTAATACAGAAGTGAACGAGGATCCACAGCGTTTCTAAGTTACCTAGCAACATGATAAATGGTGATGTGTTGACAATAGAAAGTACTGGAACATCCAAACCATCAGTAGCCAAAGCCTGACTGACTGCAATATCCTACTGAGTTACCAGAATTGTCTTGTTAGCAGCCGCTCTCATGTGGCCACAGGCAGAAATGAATTGCGAATCAGATTTTAAACGATCTAAGCGTGGGATAAGGGTCAGTCAACTAGTTGAATACGGACGAACCGTACACAGTCCTGCATAATTAATATGGCTAGTCCAAGTGGTCAATAACTTTGAGATAGGCGTTTCCAGAATCGAGCGTTGTGTATGAGAAAATACTTCCTCTAAGTGGCGGCAAGCATTTAGGCATGAAAACTAGGCGGTCCTTGCTACGCAGGCGACAGCTAGATGAGACCGTGAAATTTGATTATGGTATAGTGGTGGACAACCTCGCCTGGTTAACTAGTTCACTAGTTACTAGCCGGTCCTAAGCCCGGGTAAAGAGGGAAGGTTGGGCATAGGGCTAGCAACCCTACCCCGTAAAACAAATCTAACCGCTAAAGAAACTTCAAAGCACAAACAAAATATAAAAAATGAAAACAAACTTATTCCCCGCTGGAATCGGAGAGGCGAAATGACGCCAGTTGGTGAAAGCCTTCGGGAAGCCAATTGGCCGATGTGTCTTCTCTCGATGAAAGCGAAAGTAAACGTGGGGACATGGAATGTCCGTACGATGTTTGAACCCAGTAAGGCAGCCCAGATTGCAAAGGAGATGAGAAGGTATAACATAGAAGTGCTTGGAATTTGCGAAAGCAGATGGAATGGGAGTGGACTCTCCAAACTGTCAACTGGAGAATCAATAATCTACTCCGGTCACCCAGACGCCAACCACGAGCACACTGAGGGAGTGGCTATCATGATGTCCTCAAGAGCATCGAAGGCTCTCATGCAGTGGGAACCAATCTCCTCCAGGATCATGACAGCAAGATTCAACTCAAAAGGAAGGAAGGTCACAATCATACAATGTTATGCACCTACAAATAATGCAGAGCAAGAGAAAAAGGAGGAATTCTACAGACAACTTCAATCAACACTGGACAAGACGTCAGTTGGCGATATCAAAATTCTAATGGGCGACATGAATGCCAAACTGGGAGGTGACAACACAGGAAGAGAACTAACCATGGGTCGAGAGGCGCTAGGTGAGATGAATGAGAATGGAGAATTGTTTGCAGAATTCTGTGCATTCAACGATTTGGTGATTGGAGGCAGTGTGTTCAGGCACAAGGATATCCACAAAGCGACATGGACTTCACCAGATGGACACACTAAAAATCAAATCGACTTTATCTCAATCTCAAGAAAATGGAGACGCAGTCTACTTAACACAAGGTCAAGAAGAGGAGCAGATGTAGGTTCAGACCACTATCTAGTGCAAGGAACCTTCCAAATCAAGTTAAAAGCCTTCAAGGAAGCTGGTGATAGACCTCAATTCAAGTACAACACTCGGAAACTGAAGGATGAAACTACAAAGGAGATCTTCAAGGCAGCCATCAAGACAAAATGGGAGACATCGAGGGACATCCCTGAAGAAACCTGTGTGGAAGAACATTGGAAGTCTTTGAAAGCTATGTGGAAAGAAACCTGCACAACAGTATTAGGAAGGAAGAAGAAAGAAGACAAGGAATGGATCTCGACGGATACCTGGAAGCTGATAGAGGAGAGGAGGATGGTGAAGCAGAAGATAAACCAGTGCAAGGATGCTCAACGACAAGAGGAACTGAGCACAATGTATAAAACACTGGACAAAGAAGTGAAGAAGAGTGCACGCAAAGACAAAAGACACTTCTACGAAACACTGGCAAGTGAAGCAGAACAGGCTGCAGGTAAGAGAGACCTGACGACATTGTATCAAATAACCAGGTTGCTATCAGGGAAGAGACCAACACAGATGAAACCAATAAAAGATGAAGAAGGAAATTTAATTACAAAAGAAGAGAAACAGAGGAAACGATGGGCCGACCACTTCAAGAAGCTCTTGAATCGACCACCACCTGCACTTCGTCCAGAAATACCACCTGCAGCCGCTGAATTACAAGTGAACATAAATCCCCCAACGAAAATGGAAGTCCTGAACGCCATAAAGCTACTGAAATGCGGGAAAGCAGCAGGACCAGATGGAATACCGCCAGAAGCACTGAGAACAGATGCAGAGACAACAGCGGACATGCTCACACCACTATTGCAGAAGGTGTGGAAGGAAGAGAAGGTACCGGACGATTGGAAGAAGGGTTACCTTGTCAAACTGCCGAAGAAGGGAGACCTCAGTGCTTGCAAGAACTGGCGCGGAATCACTCTCCTGTCCACCCCAAGTAAAATATTAAGCCGCATCATCCTGGAGAGGCTTAAAGACGCACTGGATTCAAAACTGCGACCGGAACAGGCAGGCTTCAGGAAGTACAAATCATGTGCTGACCAAATTGCAACACTTCGTATCATCATAGAACAGAGCGTAGAATGGCAATCAGCTCTCTACCTCAACTTCATCGACTTTGAGAAGGCCTTTGACAGCGTCGACCGAGAAGTAATTTGGAAACTGCTTCAATACTACGGAGTACCGCAAACCTTTATCCGCCTCATTCAACAACTATATGAAGATGCCACATGCCAAGTAATCCACAATGGGAAGCTCAGTGATGCCTTTGAAGTGAAGACAGGAGTGAAACAAGGTTGCCTACTATCCCCCATGATATTCCTTATTGTGGTGGACTGGATCATGCAGCAAACAGTAGGCAGCGAGAAGAGGGGGATACACTGGACGACGGAAAAGAACCTAGAAGACTTGGATTTCGCCGATGACTTATGCCTAATGTCACATAAACTTGAAGATCTGCAGGCAAAAACTAACAAGTTGACAGAAGAGGCAGCCAAGACGGGACTTCAGGTGAATATAGAGAAGACAGAAGTGATGAAGATACCGCACCACCACCATCAACAACAACAACAAACTCCAATCACCGTCAACGGGAGAAACTTGAAGGAAGTAACCTCCTTCACTTATCTAGGAAGCATTGTTTCAACTACAGGCGGGACGGACGAGGACGTCAAAGTCAGAATCGGAAAAGCAAGACAGGCGTTCATTAGCCTGAAACCAGTGTGGAGATCTTCTGCACTCAGCATCTGGAACAAGATACGGATTTTCAACACCAACGTCAAGTCAGTGCTCTTGTATGGCTCAGAGACTTGGCGCGTCACGAAAGGCATTTCCAATAAACTACAGACATTCATCAACAACTGCTTACGCTCGCTGCTGAAGATCAGATGGCCAGAAAAAATAAGCAACAAGGAACTCTGGGAACGAACCAACCAAGAAGCTATCACGCAACAAATATGCAGGAGGAAGTGGAGATGGATTGGGCATGCACTGAGAAGGCCGACTGAGGACATCACGCGTCAGGCCCTCGAGTGGAATCCCCATGGGAAGCGACGAGTTGGACGTCCGAGGGTGACATGGAGGAGGTCATGCGAGGAGGAAATGAGAGCTTCTGGGCTGTCGTGGAACCAGGTTCAAAAGATCTCAGAGAACAGAGGTCACTGGAGGCGTGCTACTGAAGCCCTATGTTCCACTAGGAACCCAAGGGACTAATAATAATAATAATAATAGTGGTGGACGCTGCACTGTGAAGTAAACGGTGTAAGAAAACGAACATTGTTGCCTGTACTATTCTGTCCTTCCTCTTCCGTGACAGAAGTGGAGAAAAGTGTTCGCGCCCACCATCGGCTAATAAGAAAGATCGAAACCACCCTAATAATAGGTTGCGGATGCTAACGAGCATGAGGCCTTTTAACACGATAGGGTAAGGAACTTGTCGAAGGGTTTA